CAAGTGTAACTCGAAAACATAGTGTAAATTGTACAAACACGGAAGAGTATAAATTTCGGGAAAAAATACAAGATACTACCTCGGGCAGTAGGTAGTTTTCCGTTTCGAGGAAATTTAAAAAATCGTGGATCCCGGCTACTTTTCACCGAGGGAGGGGGAGGGTGTTTATTTTTTTCTTTTATCCGAGGAGATGGTGAAAGAAGACCTTTTTTTCTTCGCAGGGATGGCGGAGAACAACGGTAGAAAGCATCCGGTGTTGCTGTACATCCACGGGGAGAGCTACGACTGGGGTAGCGGAAATCCGTACGATGGCAGCGTGCTGGCCAGCTACACCGACCAAGTAATCGTGACGATGAACTACCGGCTGGGCGTGCTCGGCTTTCTCAACGCCAACATGGCGCCCCAGACCAAGGCGAGGGTCGCGAATTACGGGCTGATGGATCAGATCGCGGCGCTCCAATGGGTCAACGAGCACATCGCCCTGTTTGGCGGCGATCCCAACAACGTGACGCTGATGGGTCAAGGGACTGGAGCCGCCTGTGTTCATTTTCTCGCCATCAGCCCGACCGTCGTGCGTGGTCAGTCGCTTTTTTTTCCCCTCGCGAGGAGGAGAAACTCGCCAAGGAGAGCGAGATTTTAAACGTCAAAACGCTTCGTCTCTCTCTTTCTCGAACTCTTTTTGTCAATTCTTTTTCCCATTTTCTTCACTTTCCTCCTTCTTCATTTTGGGTTTCGAAATTGGGTTTAATTATGAATATTTCTAGACGTATGTGTGTTCGACGATAGAAATAGGTGAACGAGGGATGCAATATAAATAACGGTAAGTATTGTCGTAATGAAAATCTTCGTGCAAAGATGATTGTTTGAATGAAATTTTGTTATTTTACATTTTTCATTAATCGAAGAGAAGAACGAGCGGTATAAAAATTGGATCTTAAAAATCGATCGGATTAATTTTAATACCAATTTCGTGCTCGTCGGGAGGAATCGGATCCGTCGGAAGGAACTCTCGAAAAGTCCATAGATCAACAGAAAATCAAACTCGCCGAGAATACGTTTAATTTCGCCATTTCTTTCTTTCTCGTCCTCGGGGTTTGAAGTTTATTCGATCGACTGTGACTTTCGCCAAGTAATCTCGACGAATCTCGAGCAAGTTTGGGAAGTTTTCGCGTAACACGATAAAAATCCGCATTCGACTAAGAGCCGCCCAACTATTTTTAGATCTCTTATAAAGTTCCACTCGGTTAGATTAAATTCTGCCCGTCCTTGTTTCGTACCTAAACTTCTGCTTCCTGGCCTGGAACAATTAACCTGGGGCTTGATAATAGTTATAGCCGAGTCGCGTGCAAGAAAGAAGAATCGTTATGCCATAAATAACGAGATGGCGGCCGGTCGTCAAGACTCTTCTCTCTCGATGGAGGGATCCGATATTTCTCCTTGATGATTCCTTCGATCCGTGGAACGAACCGCTAACGAGACTCTCGAGAAGAATTCAGAAGGAAACGAGCTTATGTGTATCGAGGTCTCTCGAGATCCAATTTCTCGAAAATCGATTCTTCTTATCCTTCTTCGATTCCCGATTAATTAAAAACAATCGAAATCTATTAATGTTCCTCTTAGGAAAGAAGTCTCCTCTTAGGGGGATTAATTTTTAAAACCACCTCGATGACCTTATTACTAGATCTAGTGATGATGATCCACGAATCGAATGGAGACAAGGTTAAATTCTTTCCAAGGTCTTCGAAAAAACGCGTGAAAAAAAAAAGAAAGAAGGGATAAAGGAAAGAATGAGCGAATTATAAAAGTAAATTAAAGAGATGAGGGAGAACACGGAAGAAAATTCCGGGAGAGAAGGAATTATCCTCGAAACTTCTTAAAACCACAAAAGAAACTTTCTGGAGGGGAGATATTTAAAAGGGGGTTAAAAGAAATCCAAAAGGTGTAGACGATTTCCTGTTGGTCGACTAAACGAGAAATTGTGTTACAAAGGATAAACTGTAATAGGCAGAGAAACGAGAAAGAAGAATTCTCGGCATGGTACGCGCGTGAAATATCGTTCTTCTATCCGAATGGGTATCGCGATACGCTATTAGAAAATACTTTCCTCCTTTATGAGGCCGCGGAACGCCCACGATCCACGCTCCATGTTTCTTTCCCTCGTTCGTTCCCCTCGCCCTCGTTTCTTTTCCAAAGAGCGTTCCCAGTCACGCTGGAATTTCTCGCTTAGCCTCGTCGATCCCGGAGCTTCGATATTGGCCGTACACGAGGAAACGTGGACGAGGCTTCTCTCGAGCGGAGGCTTCGCTCGAAATTGCTGGTATAAATCTGTCTTGATAAATGGTCGGTCGCGAGATGAGGCACAGGAAGACGTATTAATTGAGGCAACTTAACGAAAACAGCTTTGTTTCTTGCGATCGATGGATGTGGCTGGGCGCACGATTTCTACCTTTTTGAAATTCTTCGATTCTGCCTCTTTCTCATTCCACTTTCGTTTCGATTCGAACGATCGATGGCGATCGTTCCTTTAAAACTCGTGGATATATTTTTGTTCGTTCCTGAAACGAGGTCGAAGAGTAATAATAATTATATTCGAAATATGATTATTAATTAATAAATTGCAAAAAGTGTGTCGATAAAGTTGTGCATGGTTGGAAATATATGGTGCTCGTGGAGAACTTGTTGCAACTTTGCTTATTCGATACAACAAATTAATTAGTTTGGGAAGTTTTCGTAGTTTTCCTTCTCGACGCCAAGCACTTTGATATTAATCACCGAAGTTCGATTCTTCGAAAGAGTTGGCCGTGTAGAAGAATTATTGAAGCAGGCTTATCGGCATACAGCACTACCAGAAATGTTACGATGAAATTAGACGGCGAAACTGGTGAAAACATTGTCATTTCAAAACATTGTCTAATTTCTTTTAAAGTATCTTCAAATATCTTAATTTGTTTCCTCGATTTTGATCTTCTTATTTTCTAGATTCGAACACAATGACCCAAGTTTAAAAGGTTCGATAGTAAATAGTTGTTTTCTTCGAATCTCTATTCAATAGAAGCTTTCGTATGTTTTCTATTTGAACTGACGAACGTGGACGAACCGAGATCAAAGAATGTGACGGCTATCCTTATTACAAATTGATTTCTCTTCCTCTAAAAAGATAGATTTTCAAAGAGTAGTGGAAAAACATCATTGGTTCTGTTGACGAAAGGAAAATCAGAAATAAGTTTCTTCTCGAGAATTTTCTGGAACTCTACATTCTATAACTATAGTTGGAATATACTCGTTTAATGCATATCATACGATCAACAAGGAAAACCGATATTTATCTTCAATATTTTTCCCCTCCTACAAAGATATAAAAAACAAAAGACAAACAGAGAGAGAAAGAAAGAGAGGGAGAAACACGTATCCCATTTCCAATTAAAAATAAAACTAAGACAAAGTATTCTTGCACGTTTATGTCAACATCTTCTTTAGAATATATCAAAGCTTAAAGATTAACGTTAAATATTACTTTAAATAGACTCTAAACTAGACTCTGCGATCAAAATTTAACACCCTATATTTTTTTTTCTCTTATAAAAAATTCCTCAAAGGTCTTCATTGTTAAATTTACGCAAATTTTTTTTTTTTTTTGCAATTAGGTCTGTTCAAGAGGGCTATTCTATTATCAGGCAGCGCCCTCTCGTCGTGGGCAGTGGTCGAGGATCCTGTTCTTACGCCTTGAAACTCGCCAAGGCGGTCAATTGCACGATTCCGAATGATTGTTCAAGAACAACGAACTGATCGTCGATTGCCTTCGGGATCGAAGTTTGGAGGAGTTGATGAAAGTCAATATCCAACCGCCGACATTTTTGAGCGCGTTTGGGCCCAGTGTAGATGGCGTGGTCATCAAGCCAGACTTTCAGAAAGATCTTCTCTCGTACATGGGCCCGGAATTTCAAGGATTCGGGTAAGCATCGATTATTTATTTCTGAATGCTTAATAACTTTCTTAAAAAATTTATTCTTTTTTTTTAATATCATATCACGAATCTATCTTCATCATTTTCTTCAGCCTGTTCCATCAAGACAGCCTCTTCGTTAAATTTTACAAACAAAAAAATACCCAACGCAAGTTGAATTCATCGTAGACGTAGTTTATTAAGATTGTAAATGATTTGAGTTTGTTATGCAAAGTCCATTCGATCTCTGCTATCTCCACCGTGCTTCGAATACTTTTTTTTTTTTGGAAACGTTAGCCTAAATCGTACATCAACGACGTTACAACGATACCCGTTGTTTCGATGAGGCATGAAATTTCTTATCGCTATCAGCAGAGCACGTAAACGATAATGGCGATATAAAGAAGATTTACGCGTTGAAGATGACTGTATAGTTTCCATATGTTCGTTTGTTTCTCTCCCATTTTTCTTTTCTTTTTTTTTTTTTTTTTTTTAGAGTACAGTAAAGAAAGAAAGGAATTTGTGTTTCGTTTCACAGGCCGCTGCCAAAGAAAGCGGAGCACGGTGCCCCGATCACGAGTAACAACAAATACGATTTGCTGTTCGGCGTGACCACGAGCGAAGCGTTGTGGAAATTCGCGGAGAAGGATGTACAGCAAGGGTTCGAGGGCGAAAGAAGGGACAGAATCATCAGAACGTACGTGAGGAACGCGTACGTGTATCATCTGACGGAAATATTTTACACGGTAAGTGTTTTCCATTTGAATTGAAACAATTTAGAAAAAAAATAAAAAAAAAAAAAGAAAGAAAAAAATTAAGAGGATCAAGAGCAAAATTAAAATATCTCTCTCGATATGATAAGAAAAAAAGAAAAGAAATGTAAAAGTTACAAACTTGGAATGAATCTTGAATAAAATCTTTCGAAAGAAGTTCTCCGATCGCTTCCAAGGGACATCTTTCTCCAACTCTGTTTACTTACTCTTAATATAACTTTTCTTGAATCATATTTTTCGTTTCTTTTCTCTCTCTCTCTTTTAATCTAATTATGTCATCATCCACTTGTTTCTCGATATTCTCGTCGGTTGTATGATTGAATATACGTACGATCGCGTTAAAAAAAGAATAACGAAACGATGACGGAAAACAGGGACGATAAACCGATCCACAGAAAAGGGTAAACGCTTTGCACACGCGATTAAGCATTTAACGGGAGCGAATCGTTCATATTTCATAAATTTCGATAAGCCAATGATTCCAACGATTATTTCACGGCCGTTTGGCATGAGTTTTCATAATGCTCCCTGGGAATAATTTGTCGCCCCCACTCCGTGGTTCGTGGTTTTGACTCCCCTCCCCCACCCCTCTGAAAAATATATCTCGCCTACGTGTCTGATTATTTGGACCGTTATCTAAATGCCGATTTCGGTATCGAAAGATGGGAAACCGAATATTAACCAGGAAAATTCCAGCGTGTATCGATGCTTCGAATTTCAATAGTTCGATGGAAATGTTATACGTTTAGCGGGGGAAAAAATTGAACTTTTTTTTTCCCCCTCCCTCTTCTTTAGTTTTACAAATATCGAGTAATAAAATTATTCGATTCGATTCGTTGTAAAATCGAAAAATTTTTAAAAAATTTCGATGAACTTTCATAGATGTGAAAATGAAAATGAAAAATGAAAAAAAGAAATTGTAGCGTTATCATGCATTTCGATATTCACGGAAAGTAAAAGAGAAAATTATAATTCGTGGAAATAGTTTCAGAATTAATTTAATCAAATATTTGATTCGATCAAAGCTCCAAAATGCCCAACTTTATTTATTTAAAATAATAAATAATTTTCACATTAGGAATAATAATAATAATATGTATTTTTTAAACATATGGAAAAAATTGTTCACAACTCGTAAAAAGGACATCAAAAATTTCAATTTTTTATTTCTTTTCTTCTTCTTCTTCTTATTTTTTCACAAGAAATCACTCTCCGTTTTTACACTTTATTCGTCCAGACCCTGTATATTTTTTTTTTCTCCATAACGTTTATCGTTTGATTGAATTATCGTTCAATTGGGCCAGGTGGTGAATGAATACACCGATTGGGAGCGGACAGTGCAGCACCCGGTGAACACGAAGGACGCCTGCGTCCAGGCGCTAAGCGACGCCCAATTTGTGGCGCCTTTGGTGCAGACTGGCGACCTCTTCACCCTAAGGCACACGAAGAAACCGAATAATCCTCATATAGCACCGATTCCCGAAAGCGAGAAAGAACCACTGCCTAAGACGTATTTCTACGTGTTCGACTATCAGATGAAGGATGGGGATTATCCTCAGGTAAGTGGTCATTTTCTTCTTCTTTGCTCAAAGAATTAAGAAGAAACGAAAAAGATGAAGCGTAATGTATAATCGAAAAGAATATATATAGCACGATACTATATTATTGAAATTCGTAATATGCATATGTTATTATTAGCATATATTATTATTATTATAGCGCTTACGAATTTTATGGGATAATTAGATTCGAAAACACAGCTGCGCGCTTTTCCTGCCGTGAATAAATTAAACCCGTGGAATAGAATTAATAAACCGATCGGGGTATGGTCGAACCTTACTCTTCGCTGTTCCCATTTTTCGATCTATGCGCCGTTCGATTAATTCTCACCGATCGATCCAGTTAAATGTTATTCGAAATTTATTTTCTCCTCAAGTGAAATAGTATTGTTTACGTCTATATATTCACAATTGACAGTGACTATTTCATTGGGGAGCTACGTCCAAAGGTACGAGGTAACCGAGATATACCTCATTTTGTTTGAAATTCGAAATTTGTTTCGAAAATTCGAGTTCGAAAGCTTGTTAAATCGAACAGAGCGTGCGATATTGTATTAACATTCATCCATTTCGCAGGATGGATGAAATTACAAAGTTACTTTTGCGTAGTATTTACGACGATTCAGGAATCGAAAATCATCGGAACGAAAAACACGTTGGAACGACGAATCTCCTCATCTTTTGTTCCGCGATTAAAACAATTGAAAATATTTTCCACGAGATTAAACGAAATGAAAATTATCACTCGTGCGCAAAATATGCAGGTCGGCAATTCCAAGGGGCGATGCGTCTTGTTTATAAATACGGCGACGCGGTGTTTGTTCGCGAAGGAATGTGGCAAATTATGCGGCTACGAGCTCGTTTGTATCATTCCTTTGGATATGAAAAAATCCTCGTTCCCTCGTGAGAAGTCGCCGACGAGACGAGATAAAGGGTAGAAATGGGAGGAAGGACGAACGAGGTGAAACGATCCTAAGCTGCTCTAACTTGAGATATTATCGGGATGAGTAAATTCCGTGGGAACGAGATATTTCGTGGATGTAACTAATGTTTGCAATTACGAAAATTTACCGAGTATGAGGAACGAATATTTTCTTTTTCTTTTTTTTATCTTTTTTTAAACTTGAACGATCGTTATGGAAATTAAGCTCTCGTTCAGATTGTAAACAGTGTAAGCTTCCGTTAAATCTAGGAAATCTCTGGTGAAGAAAGATAATAAAAACGGGTAATTAAATTATTGTACGGTCATTGCAAATATGATTCGAGAGATATTCGTTTCGTGTGATTAAGGAAAATTTACTTCTCTAAAGAAAAAAAAAAAAAATTATAACGATGGGAATTATCGGATTTATCCGTAAACCACATCAATTTTAAATCGAAAAATAAGTATCGATTGTTTACGATTGTTTTTATAATCTTTTAACCCTCGTTTCCCCTTTTGTTTCGAAAAATTCCACGTTCGGTTTATTTTTATTAACACGCGTTCCGTGTTTATTAAAATTATCTTTTGCATGACGAAATTTAATTAATTCCTCAGTTAATTTATGAAATTCCTGGACAAAATTATTCAACTCCCCATTTATAGTTGCCAGTTTCTTCTCATTTAAACGAACATTAATTATTACGTAATTGTTTATTTATTTGCTTCAATTCGATATAAGTTCGTTTATGAATTACAATTAACTGACACTCCCATATATTAAATATCAACGAGACGTTTAATCTTTCATTTCCTCCTTTATTTTATCATTTCTCGAATAATTAATCCGAATAATATTATTTTTCCTCACATTGCGCGCATTACATTCCCTTTAACTTTTGAAATCTAATCGTGAAAAGAACAAAAAAAAATATAAAAGAAGGAATCGAGATAGATCAATGTCAAATCATCATTTACGAAACATTTTCCCAGGGGAAGGCATTTAAATCTTTCTTATTCCTTGCACATTTTCCCCATTAAGAAGGGAGACTATGCCTATATTCCACGAATAGAAACGGGAATGCATTTATTAAAACGAAACTTAATTTAATCCGTAAGCGTAATGCAAAAGATATCTGGTATCCGATAAATCATTGGCTACGAGTGACTGTTGCAATTTCCGATTCAACGTCGAATCCCATTCTCGGCTCGGTGTGTCAATGTTCCGTGTAAGCGAGAAGTAAGATATCCCCGCACGCTCGATCTTGAATGGAAAATATTGGCGGATCAATAATAGGAGAGGCGAGCCGGACGGACCGACTTCGGATTCATTGTCCATCAGTCACGACTGTTGTTACACGAAAAGATTTCGACCATCGATAACTGGCATTATCCATTATTCCTTAATCCTGGGATACCATCTATTCCCAGCAAAAAGAAAGGAAAAGGAAGAAAATAAAATGAATGAATAAATAAACGAAACGAATAAAACTAGTATAACTAGTTGTAAACTTTCATTGACTCGGTTTCGAAGACTAGTGATTCGATGGACGAGAATCCCCCGATCTGGTGGATCGTTTTGTGGATCAAAAGGGGAAATCGGCGCGAGAGACGATAGATCCGGCACGGTCTCTCTCTTTCTCTCCTCTTTTGAGATAACGGGGCCAGATTTATAACGGGGACGGAATAACGAATTTTACCGCGGCAAAGATTTGCAGCGATTCGCCGATAAGATTAGCGATTGATAAACGGCTAGGCTACGTGCGTTGTCCGCAACAACCAGGCGAGGCGTTTTCGCTTCGTGTCGATCGTGGATGCGAGCGCGGCATATAGCTGGAAAATTGTCGCCTCGGATGCACTTCACTCTCTGCGATCATTTATTATTTCGCATCCCTAAATAGAAGCGTTGCGTTGCGTCAAGAACGAACGCGCATATTCTCCGTACAAATAATCCGTAAATGAATCGGACAAATCGATTGTTACGCGCTCGCTCGAACTTGTGTTTGTCCAACAGTAACAAGTTTTGCTCGTTCAAATTCTACATTTGTTTTTTCTTTTTTTTTTCTAACTTCCATTTGATCAAAATCCATGTGTATTTTTTTTTTTTTATCTTTTATATTTCTTTCTCGATGGCGTTTTAGGTAAAATTAAATATTACGAGTTAGAAGGATAATATGAGATGACGCTGAAAGTTATTTAGTTTTAAGAGATAATTGGTGTATATGGAAATAGGAAAAAAATATAAGAGAGTGATAACAATGTATGTTGATAAATCGAATGGAAAATTTCACGATGTTGGAAGATTGAAAAGAAAGAGAAAGATACTCACATGTGTGCTGCATAGAAAAATATAACCAGAGAGAGAGAGAGAGAGAGATGAATCGGTGAGATGCGACATGTTCGGTCGGCACGGTTTCCACTGGCGTTAATTTGTCGAAAAGCTGGGGAACATGGAGCGCGGCATACCTTAAGCACTGTGATGCATATTGTAGCAGATCGGTGTTAACGGGGCGCGCGCCATCGTTGTTTAAATTGTTACATCCGCGGCGCTGTATGCATGAATCAGCAATGCGAAACAGTAAATATTTCTCGGTATAAATTGACGAACTTCGTTGATTGCACTTCATCGTTCGATCATTAATCACGAGCGCTGTGGATTTCTCTCGAAACAGAATGCAGTATCGAACTTACCATCAACTTCTGACTTCTGTGAATATCGTGTGAAAATATATTTGAAGAGAATTTTCTGAAAAGGAATAGAACAAGTTTTAAATTTACGCGATAGTGCAAAAGATGCATTTGCAAAATTATAAGGATGTAGTAATGTTGCTAATGGAGGAATGTAATGTTGTTGAAATAATACGGAATCGATGTGTGTATGTAGGTGAATTAAATAAGGGAGTAACGAGGCATTGAAATTTTAAAAATGGAAATAAATGAGATATTATAGTTCTCTAAGAAGAGATTACGGTGAAGAAGGCAGATTAAAAATGATGTATTACGGAATAAATGAGGTACTCAAATAGAATTTACGAAGCTTCAATGTCTCGTTAGTTCTCCCTCGGTAGTGTTGTAATATTGTATAAAGCACTCGAGTCCTCTGTCCATATGAATATGTATAATAATTCGTGTACAACGATTTATATTCTCGAATATAAAAGAATACCGAAAGCAAGAATCGAGGAAGGAATTGCTCCTAAAAATTACAAAATTTTTTTACATATTAATATTTCAATTTAACCTGAGAAGTATTTCTATTTTATTTTATATATACTTACTTCGAGTGGAGTGCTGTCTCTATAGTTTCTAAAGTAAAGGTAATACAACCCTTGGTTCCGATACTCGAGAATGGTATATCTGAAACTAGTTTGCTATTTTAGTTCTTATTAAAAATCGGTAAAGAAGAAGAAGAAGAAAAGAAAAAACCTACGTTTCTTATTTTCTAACGCTTGATTGAAAATTGAAATTTTATCGCATTAATTACACAAAGTTTAATATCTGATGTACTTTAATTGATCGAAATTGGAGAAATATAAACAACTTCGTGAGGAAAATTGTAGGATTAAATTGATTAATGATTATAATGCACGTGAGTACATGCGAGAAATCTGTTTTATCGTTAACGAAACGACATGAAGTACATGTATTCGTTTTCACGATAATTGCATTGTGAAACGATGACTGGCTATTTATATTAATTTTGATTACAAAGGATTTCTAAATGAATATTAATACGGGCGATAAAAGTAAATGAGCAATGAACACGATAATTTTGGATTCGCGATTAAACGTATATCATGAATGTTGCACGACAATTTAAGAATTATTTTGATTCGACGATCGATCACGTTATTTAATATGTTAAACAATTATTTTCGAATGACACTT